GTGAAAGTTCAGTTCCCAATAAACGAGTTTCTGTTGTTTTTCAAGTGAAGTCAGCAACATCATCCGAATATATTCCTTTTTTAAATATTGCATTTTTTCTTACCGATATCAAACCATAACCAAGTAGTTCTATAGTCGTATATTCTCGCGCCCATCGGTTAAATTCCGGGAGAGAAGAAACCTCTGCAAGTTGTCTAACTTTTTCCTGTAATCTATCACTGACTTCTCCTTCGACGAACTCTTTAATTTTTTGGCAACCTTCTTCGGTTTCTAATAATGGAGAAGAAGTAATAATACCACCCAACGTAATTAGGAACAAACCTTTCTATTCTGGGCGAGCCCTTGGCCGGAGTTTGCATTTCTTTTCAAATTTCCTCCAATTTTTCAGATAACTCTTTGCCATAAAAACCAATAGTACCAGCGGGAAAAATATCTTTTTTATAATTCGCTAATCTTTCCTGGTGGCGGCGGGCTCAAAATACTAGTTCTTCGTCAATAGTCCTTTGCTTTTTCCTTACCCCAAAATAAATTGCTGTTAAGCCGAAAATAATTACCACCAGACTAATAATTATTCCAATTATCGTTTTTTTTTTTTTTTGCATTATTTAAATTTAACAACTTATTATTAATCTTTTACGAATTCTTGGAAGGGCCATATTAATCTCCAAAAAAATCATTATTCATTTTAGTAGCATGTTTAAGTTTGTGTAATCATCTATTTCTAATAAACTTGGGACCGGTTTGCGGAAAATATCACGTTAAGAAGGATATCTTTATCTAATCACTCTTGGGCATTTGGTGTATAATATTTACTTTTATGTTTAAGGTTTTTAATGTTTAAATCAAATTCTATTAATTTTTGTTGCGAAAAAAATAACCCAGTAAAGTCAAGTTTACGCTATTCATGCCGGATAAATAAAAAACTTCCTTGTCCTTTCTTGTGGCTGCTTTTGCTGGGTAAAGTAAAACTATACGTCATTATTTTTTTATCTCTGGTATCGTTGTAGATTCTTTTTTGGCTGTTGACATAAAACTTGCGGTTAAACTTACTGGAATTCTTGCTCGGGAAATTCATGGTTATTTTTTACTTAGAAAACTAAATTAATCTTTGCTCGATTTCGCTAAGGGCAGAATGAGTAAAAATAAGGTTACGAGGAATTATGGTTGTAAAAACATTAAGCATTTGGCTATCAGTAATTTCCAGATAAGGAAGGTTACGAAAAGCCCGAATTAATTTTTCTTTTTCGGGTTCGTTTTTTCCCAAAATGATTAAACTACGAGTTCTTGGAGCAGGTAAATTACTAAGTAATTTCTCAGCTTCCTTGGTCTTATAGTTAACAAAAATAATTTTATCTAACACCACTATTTCCTTTTGCCGTAATTTTTCTCCCAAGAGAGATTGCAAAGCCTTTTTTTTGGCTTTTTTGTTGAGGTGGAGTGGCAAACTTTTTTCGCCCCGCGGTCCATGAGCCACACCCCCACCAACGAAGTGGGGATTGCTCCTTGGACCTTGTCGTGCCATGCCAGTTCCTTTCTGGCGGCGCGACTTTTTAGTGGTTTTTTCAACCTCACTCTTATTCTTGGTTTTATGAGTATTCTGATGTTGATTAGAAAAATAACCCCGATAAGTCAAGGAAATAAGTGGTCGCAAAAGGGGGACCTGCCAAATATTTGGATCAAGCAAGAAGCCACCTACTATCTCACCATTTTGATTAAGGATGTCTATCTCACGCATATTGTTATTAATTATAGTAATGATAAGGCAACTTTATCTAGAAAAATCGACTAGTAAAGGAAAGGGCAAAGAGGACATTTTCGATTATCAGCAGCGGGAAATTAGAATTATTTATTACTAACTACTTCGGAACAATCTGTATTTGGGCTACTAATTGGGTAGTTTGATTTTCTGATTTAACTAATTGATTATAATGATTTCTTCGTCTGGTTTGGAGAGTAATTTGTTTTTTGTCGGCGGGTAATTTATCGTCATTTAAATCTTGGATTTGTTTATCTCAATAGCCTCCTTCTACTAAATTATTAATTTTTTTCTCTTTTTCCATAGCGGTTTTTAGGTTTTCTCCTTGGCTAAGTGCGGTTTGTTGTTGAATAGAATAGAGTTGTTGATTCAAATTGCTAATTTGACTTTCTAATTCTGAGATTTTGACCTGGGCTTCTTGGTTTTCTTGGATAATTTGGCTCGCTTGCTTTTTCAAATCAGCAAAAGCAAAATTAGCAAAACTATTACAACTATTACTAGGAAATAGTATGGTGGTTAGGTCTTTAAGTTGGGATTGGTGATTTGGTTTAGTTTGTTGGTGGTCTGTTTTTTCTTTTTCCGTTTGCTTGCGAAGTTCTTCGCTAGTTTCTTTTTCTGTCTTGAGTTCTTGTTGAGTTTTCGTTAGTTGCTCGGTTACTTTTTGCAAAACATTATCAAGTTTTACTCATGGCAAATCAATTATCCGACCAATAAGTTCTTTGTCCCCGCTCAGAACTTTATTAACTAGTTCTTGGTGCTTAGGAACGTAGGTGGCTCCGGCAGAAGTTTTAGGGATAGTACGATTACAACAAAAACATTTTAAGCCTCAATTATTAACCCATTTTTCCCATTCTCCGTCCTTTTTGTCGTAGAGACGGCTTTGAAGAATGAGAATGCGAGCAAAAAGCCGTCTATCCAACTGTTTAATAAATCAGAAAATTAGTCCTGATGATTTGCAACCATGAAGTTCTTTGGGATTGGGAGGAGAAGGAAAAACTTCGCTGGAAAAATTTCTTTGGTTAACTGTTTCTTTGTTTGTTTTAACAGCTAACTGGTTGAGATCAGAAAAATCAATCAATTTCATTTCCGGGAAACATTCTTTTCTTACGTTCACTAAAATTTGCCAAATTTCTTGGGAGTCGGAAAATTCTTGGGAGTAGTACTGGGCATCCAGCCAAATTATTGAAGTATTTTTTAAGCCTTTGAGATTGGGAGCCAAATGATAATCATATTCTAATTGGGTTAGTTTAGAGTTGTGGCTCAGGTCTAATTCTGTAATGTTGTTTCCAGCACAAATCAATTTTCATAACTCAACATTTTTACTCAAATCTACACTGGTTATTCTGCTATATCGCAGATTCAACTCTTTCAAATTAACAAAATCACTTAAATCTAAATGACCCTCTACTTTAAAATCACAGAAGTCAACTACCTCAACTTCCCCTCTTTTATCTTTCGGATAATTTTTATCTAGTCAATCTTGGGCAGGAATATATTCGGATGATGTTGCTGACTTCACTTGAAAAACAACAGAAACTCGTTTATTGGGAACTGAACTTTCAC